AACAATTATTTTTAGGCCATACAAATACTTCTTCCGTGCGGGATTCGAACCCACGGCCCTTAGGCTGCAACTCATTGCTAAGCCACTTCGCCGTCAATTGTCTGTTACACAATTTTTGCTATTTACAAACATGCGACACGCAACGGCATTGTTAATTAAGTGGCAATGAGAATTGCTGCTATTTTCAATCTCTTTCTTTTATCGACCAAGTGTTAAACAAATAATATATGCCGATCTTGCATTAGTAGACAGTCACTAGTACTGGGTCATTATATTTGTCATTATACGTGAAAAAATCGAAAACTGCGAAGCTGTGGTCGGGTCACTAATTATCTAGTCTACCTATAAATAATAATATCTTACATTTCAGTATCCAGTAACAGTAAATAATGAAAAGTCGACATTCCTGTTGTTATTTAAGGACACGCATGCTATGTAGTACCTTTTAGCTTTTTGGGAACTTGAATAAAAACTCAAAAATAAATATTAGAAGTGCCTAAATACTTATAAGAAAGAAATACTTTTTGTTAACGTAAGGCTCGCGTCAGCTAGAGCGCGCGCGTAACATACTCACGGAGTTAGCCCCTTGTAAGTGACCGCGCAGCGTAGGTACATTTTCATGCCTAAAGCACGGAGTGAGACAGGCCTGGCTATAGGATATAGATTACCTCTCTCTCTCTCTCTCGTTATATGGGATATTAACCTATTCGCTGTCCCGTATACTACATATAGTTGATTGCTATTGTCTTACTATTGTGTCTGAAAATCGGACAGTGAAAGTGTTTATACGAGGTATTGGTTAATATCTATGATACTCGTTTCGGTGTATTATAGCTATTGATCAATTTACAATACATCTTTATATCTAAGCAAACCAAATCTATCAAAAATCGCTTATCACCGTGTAGTACTAAATACCGACTTTCTTAGTTACAAAGTCCCGTTGATATCGACCGATATAGATATTGAAATATATAAATTCAATATCTAGATTTGATATAGGTTCAAAGGGGAATTACCCATGCTTAATTTTTGTCGACACACGCGAAAAACAATTGATAAAATAGCGAAGACCACTTCGCCATGAACCCCTACCCCCACCCCACCCTTCAATTACGAACAGATCACGGCCTGTGCGATTCTACAAGTGCCCGACGGTGCAGCGGCAGCCACAAACTCAAAAATAACGTCATGAAATTTACTATAATCGTATACCTAAATTTCCTATATTCTACGTAAGTCGCTTTTTTTTATAGGAGAGGGGCAAACGAGCATGCGGCTCACCTGATGGTAAGTGACTACCGCCGCCCATGAACAACTGCAACACCAGGAGGGAATTGTAGATGCGTTGCCGGCCTTTTAAAAAGGAGTACGCTCTTTTCTTGAAGGTCCCTAAGTCGTATCGGTCCGGAAAAATCGCTGATGGTAATCGATTCCACAAGGAAGTCGTGCGAGGAAGAAAACATCTTCTAAATCGCACAGTGGTGGACCGCCAATCATCCAGATGGTGTGGATGGTATCGGGAGTTCTGCCGCGATGTGCGTTCGTGAAATTTGGCGGCTGGGATGAATCCGAACAATTCCTCAGAGCACTCCCCATGGTAGATGCGAAAGAAAATGCAAAGGGATGCTGTTCTCTTCGCAGTGCCAATGAATCGAGCCGATCGGAAAGGGCTCGGTCGTCGACGATTCGAGCCGCTCTGCGCTGGATGCGGTCAAGTGGAAGGAGCTGGCACTGGGGAGCCCCTGCCCAGAGATAGGAACACTATTCCATGTGAGGCCGAACCTGCGCCTTGTAAAGTTGCAGGCGGTGTGCCGGCATGAAATACTGTCCCGCTCTGCTGAGCACGCCAAGCTTTTTAGAGGACAATTTGGCCTTCTCTTCCAAGTGATTACGAAACTGCACGTCACTCGATATGTCAACTCCGAGGATACCGATACTGGCTGAGGCAAGAAGGGGAGTGCTTTGAAACTGAGGAGATACGACAAAGCGATTCTTTTTAGCGGTAAACGCGCAAACTTGTGTCTTCTGAGGATTAAACTGGACTAGATTTAGTCGCCCCCAATCCGAGACTTTGTTCAGCAAAGACTCGACTTCAGACACAAGTTTGTTACGGTACTCGGCGACGTTTTCCCGAGAAATATTGGCACGGCCGGTGTATAGAGCATCACCAGTGCTGTCATCCGCATAGCAATGAATGTTACCAGTTATCAACATATCATTAATATGCAGAAGAAACAGCGTTGGATAGCACACAGCCTTGTGGAACACCGCTGGTGTTAATAGGCTTGTAGTCAGAACATGCACCGTCTACAACAACCTTGATATTCCGATCTGCAAGGAAGCTGGTGATCAAGGGAGCTTCGAAAGAAGCGCTTTGTGCCAAACCCGATCGAAGGTCTTCGCAATGTCCAGACTAACGGCCAACGCCTCCCCCTTGGACTCTACTGCCTCCGCCCATCTATGGGTCAGCTAGACCAGAAGGTCACCAGCTTATCGACCCCGACGAGAACCGTATTGGCGGTCACTAATCATCTGGTGATCCTCAAGGTACCGGATGAGCTGGCAGTTAATAATGGATTCCATTATTTTGGAGAACAAGGAGGTGATCGCGATAGGCCTATAGATGGACGGGTCTGAGCGGTCGCCTTATTTAGGGATCGGGTGGACAAAAGCTGTCTTCAATGAATTCGGGACCTACGCCTTGGCAGTAGGAGTACCGGAAAAGACGCGTTAGAACCGGTGCCAACTCCGGAGCACACGTCCTCAGCACAATTGGGGGGATTCCGTCAGGCCCACTCGACTTCTGGATGTCCAGGGAGAGAAATGCTTTGCGAACCGAGCGCTGTGAGAACAGCACATCCGGCATGGAGCACTCACACCGCGGGATGGTCGGCGGTGTTTTCCCCCCGTCATCAAGAGTCGAGTTGGACGCAAAAAGGGAGCCTAAAAGGACAGCTTTGTCTTTTGCATCTTGGGCCAGTGAGTCGTCCTCCCTGTGCAGAGATGGTAGTGATGGCTTACAGAAATTCCCTTGGACAGCCTTGGCGAGAGACCAGAATGCACGGGTTCCCGAAGGAAGGCGAACTAGTTTCTCGCCAATTCTGCCTATGTGCTCTGACTTTGCCTTAGCAATAACTCTTTTGAAGGACCTGGAGGCGAAGTTATACTTCTTTTTAAGTGTGCTGGTGTTTACATCCCGAGTCGCCGAAGAGTCGCTGCCCAACTATCGCCGCGGGCGCGAGTTTTTGAATTTCGTCCCATGCGTTCTCCATGAGTACATATTCTGGACCTCTTCGAAAAAGCTTAGCGATGTTGAACACCGTGATTGTATAATGTGTGACTGGAAGAATACATCCATTCCTCATTATATTCAGCATTTTTACTCACCCCGCAAGTAGCAACTGGTGGCAAAAGCAGAATGTCGATACTGCCACGGGAAGGAGAAAAGAACACGTACACGTTGGTACACGTACGGCATGCTGGCAAGCTGTGATGGAAAACCATTTCACGGTGACATAGCTCAAATTGCAGTTTCACCGAAGATATCTTCTAAAATGTACTTTAATTAAATGAAAAAAATATAGAAACTCCCACAAATTATGTACCAACGCCTATTATATTTTAAGGACTTTAGGAAGTTATAATTATCGATTGAGGAAGAAAAAAGGAATAAATTTCTAAATCACAAGTAGCAACCTAAGTAACTAAAAACCACAAGTTTTTATTATCTCGATTGTGCAATTATCGATAAATTAATAGGCCTAAAAACTACAAGTCTAGTAATAATAAGTCTCACTTCATTAGGAAAAGGCGGTTTGATCGGAAGACCTTAAGAAATGTTACTCTGTGCACAGATTAGGGGAATTGTTAGATTGCCCTCCTAGAAACACTGAAAACATGGTGTCGCCAAATTGTCGATAAAACTTCTTAGGTTTTAATTTTAAAACAAATTTTAAATTCCTACTGGTGGTAAGTGATATGTTTCCTACGTAGATATAGTTCTTACACCATTTAACTGCGCAAATCGTCGTTTAAATTTTTTGGAGCGATTTGTGTGCACGCGATTAATACTAAATAGGTAAACAGACGTTACCGGCCTAATTGTTCGGTATTTTTTCTCCCTTTTTAAACTGCATGTATACTTCAGGAACGTATAATTTAACAAAGGAATACTTGCTTACACCTGGCCGCATTATAAGTGGTAACCAAACTTAAGTACTTCATACATTTTTATTCGATATTATTGATATTTTTATATAGAAAAAAAACAAGTAAACAAAATTATTTACTAAAAATCCATAAAACATTTTTGCGGTTATATTTTGTTAATCAATACCGCGAAAAAGTATTTCTTTACAAACAATTGTTCATAAAATGTAGTGTTTTCATTAAAAACCAGAGACGCAACAATCACAGGATGGGATCTATTATCACATAATGCGAAAAAGTAAAAATAACTGGCAGAAATTATTTTAGTATTCCAATTAAAAAAGAAAAAGTTTTTAGCTTACGATTAAGATAATAATATACAGCGTTATTTTTCAAAGAGTATACAAATTTTATAGTTAAGTTTAAATATATAAAGAATGATATACCGTTATTTTTTTTAAATACGAGTAAATAAGGCTTCTACTTTTGAAGATTACGAATTGAATGTGATTTTTAGAGGCAACAACAACACTCCTCAGTATGCGATTTAATTCACAACATTTTTGCCGACCGAGCGACCCTAACGAATGTGTGCGTGCTTAGTAATAAAGTAGGCGTTAGATATTTATAAATGGCAATCAGTTAAAATAATGCATTACCACGCATTCTGAACTTAAAAGATGAAAAGAACAGAATGTTTGAGATTTTTTAAAATTAATTTTTCTTCACCATTCGCCTATATTAGTTATTCCGAACCATCTCAGTACATTTGGACAAATATTGCAAAACAAGCCTGTATATTATATTTAGGTTACATAAATAATTTTGCACATGGCACAACATAAACATCAATGTAGAGAACAAGATGGACAAAGCTTTATTTTATTCAAATCTAAGCATGCACCGTGAAAAGTGTGACCGCACTTAAAAGTCCACAAACCGCCATCTTTGATTAAAACTTCATTCTGTAAAGGCAGGCCACATAATACACAGTCGTTTACGCCGTTAAATATTTCCAACATTACTGTTAAAATATCTTGTAGAGTAACATTTTTGTCTTTCGCGCCTACTACTTCAGAATTATGTAATAATAACAACTTCTCACGCACAGATCTTAAGCCCCAATGAGATGATTTCGCTGCAACAGTTAACGGTAAAGCTGTGTTCTTTATCTGTCCGTTAGTTGTACATCGAAGCAGATGACAGATCTGAAAAAATTTAATATTTGGCATTTATTTGGGAAATAAAATATTATCGTACATATAAGGTTCTTTACAAAAATAAATATCGTCGTCCAGACCGATACCCCTTAAATCAGTTTAATTAGAAGCGTAACTCACAGAATAAATATATAATAGATTATCAAATAAAATAATGAGAGACCTTCTCTACTATTTTCGGTAGTACTTAATACTTTTAATAAGTACCCAACAGCAGAAACAACTAGTGATTACGGTTTGGGTGAACGGCTTTTGCTGGAGTGGATTATTCACGGAGCAAATACAAAGAGGAGAGGAGAAATAATTTTTATATATTTTACAGCAAATCATTTTCATTTGAAAATTAATTATTTCGGACTACTTTATACACATATTATCATAATGCGGCAGAGCCATGCTGCAGCTATATAGTTGTAGCACGAATGGGTACGCTCAACCGGGCAAAGATCACTCTCGCACAGAATACCATCGTGAAACAGCAGCTTAATGTTGCTGTGTTTCGTAGTGTGAGTGTAGAGTAGTCCTCAGTAGTGATAACGCATCTGAATTTTGATTGTTAATCGAGGATAGATGTAGATGTCTATGGACCACAGCATCCACTTACCATCGGATGGGCTGTGTGCTCGTTTGTCATCCTTATTCTATAAAAAAATGCATTAAAAAAGAATGAAAATTACCTCCAATCTTGAGTCTTTGAATTCATAAGAACTGTAAACTGTATCAACTAATTGTGCTGTGACTGTCACATCATATTTCTCATACATTGACACCAGCAAGCATGAATGATAAAACTTCATTGTAACTGCTGCAATATCAATTAGATTAGCATGTTTCTTCATAACTTCAATAGCGTTCTTTCCACCTACCGATTTGATTATCAGGGCGCCTAAATCGTCCCAACTTAACATGTCTTTAACAGACACATGTTCAAATGTTTTGTTACAATTTAAACAGATGTTAGCGTGCAGTACAGCGTACAGTTGTATAGCCCGGTCCCAAATCTCCAATGTGAATTGTGGCAAAAATGAATGTAGAAGTGTCTCATCGAGCATTTGCAGTAGTATCCGCAAAACATTTAATAGGTCTTCATTTCGTCTTAAGTACAAAATCTTCCTCCACAAATACGGCATCTTCTTACAAATATCGTAACACTGTTCTTTCGTTTGGCATGACCATTGCCTCTCTATAAACTCATCTATTAATTCAGAGAATACCGGTGTTCCATTTGTTCGTGCAAACGGCAAAGGAAAGCCGCACTCGCAGCCAAGATTTGATATTTTATGTGTTTTGATATTCACTGATATACAGGAATCAACAAAATATTTGTATAGCACTTCCTCCTTTATAATTGTATCCAAGATATTACACTTATTCCTAGAAAGATTTAAATATGCGAGAAATATATAATTTGGAACAAACTTTGATTCATCTAAAGCTCCTATTGAAATACAATATTGCTCCAATGAAACCATTAGGTCATAGATCTTACTAATATCACAGGTGTAGCTTTCTATTATAGAGGTTAAATTCGTTTGCTCTGATTCCTTATTCACTAAGCTTAATCTATGGTACTGGTACAATGACCTGCAAATTTTGTCATTGTCTACAATATTATTGTCCGCTTCTACGACCTTTTGACTAGAGTCTTTAAATATAATATCATTATCCAAAGGGAAATTATGTTCAGTGTGCGAGTTCTCCTCATAGGATATCTTTCTTTGAGCCGTTTCTATCCCTTGTATATGTTTTGTAACTGATTGTTCTTGGGAATTTTGTTTTTCTGTACCAAAATGTTTTACTTTTTCTTCGATATCCTCCCATTTTTCCTTTAATATCTTTTTACTTGAACTGAATTTATCTGACATAGCACTGCTTATACCTCTTAAAGCTTGTAAAGTCTCAGGTGATATTGTAGAAAATAAGTTATCGTCATTAGTTTTAGAATCAAAATTTTCATCTAACATTGTCTGTGTTTGATATGTATTATCAACAACATATATTCCAGATTTCATCTGAGTTGCTTCACCTAATTGTAAACTATCAAATTTCTCTAACATATTACTTATACTATTTAATAAGCCATTATTATGCAATTTATCTCTCAGTCCAACCAAAATATGCAATTTAGGTGATAAATTGTTAGAAAGCAAATGATCTCTATACAAGGCACATAGTTCAGCACATAAGGTATATTTCTCATCAATATAACATTTAACTAAAAACTTATCCAACTGCATGAATCTCGTATTGACTAGAGAGCCATTGCTTAGCCATATATAGAGCATATCGTGATATATTTTGCAATCTACAATATCTTTATATGTGTCAAACCAAACTGTATTATTTACATTGTGAATATTTAAAAAATATAGTGAATTTTTATTAAACGAGAATATGGCACTATTAATCCAATATATTTTGGGAAAGTTAACAGATTGTCCAACACTTTCCTCGTCCAAATTCCAAAGTGATAGGCTTTCATTATCATAAGATTCCACTGTTACTACATTCAATGGTCGCCTTGCTAATACCTGTTTGAATTGATGTGTTCTTCTGACCGTACCATCAATTGTCGCTTCCCATAGTCTAGATGATGGTCTAGCGCAGTATATGAGAGTGTTAGAAAGTTGTTCTCCAACAGTAAATCCAGCATCATTATCTACTATGTTGTATTTCTTTAATTCAGTATAATCCTGTTGATTATTTTCTGTTGAGCCATTAAGAGCAGATTTATCTTTCGTAACAAAACAAGCACCAAATTCACCATCTCGAAGTTTTTGACCAATTTGTCTGTATTGTTCTTGAATAATATTACAAATATAGCAACGCGTAAGGGTAGATACAAGCAACATACAATCTTTGGCATCCAGCTGGCAAATTCTTGAGTCCAGGCTCAAAATAATTTGAGATGAACTGTGAAACATTGTTTTGGCCTGCAATTTAAAAACAGTTCCTTTTTAATAACAAAACATTATTATATTTGCGACTGTCTCGTTGGTCTAGTGGTTGTAAACACGACTGCTGATCGTGAAGTCCCGGCTTCAAATACCGGGTTGGGCCAAGAAGAAATCAAGAGTTTTTCCATCAAGAAATTCTCAGTAGCTGCCCGGAGTCAGGAAGTTGTCGGTGTCTCACCCCCGTGCCTCGGAAAGCACGTAAAGCCTTTGGTCCTGTGCCTGATCTCTCTTCGGTCGTATCGGTTTACCGTCCCATCGGACTATGAGAGTGAAGGAATTGAGAGTGCACCTGTGCTTGCGCATACACTTGGGCACTATAATCTTGACCTGCGCCGATGGCTAGTCTGCGTTGAGGCCGGCCGCCGTGACCATATTTGGTCTGGAGGACATTATCAATATATTTGCATTATGACTAAATATTTTTTTTTGTATTAATTAGCAATTTAAATAAAATTATTTTTAATTCCAAAATATTTTATTTAAAATGCTAATGCCACGCTCTCACAGAAAACCAGCGTAAAATAGCAGCTTAACGCTGCTGTGTTTCGTATGGTGGTGTAGAGAACCGGAGACCCCTTTTACTGGCAAAGAGGCATTCCATCTTAGTCCTCACGGGTGACAACGCATTTGCATCTTGAGTCTTTATTGAGGATAGATGTAGATGTCTATGGGTCACAGTAACCACTTACCATCAGGTGGACTGTGTGCTCGTTTGTCACCCTATTCTATAAAAAAAAATTACACTTATTGTGTATGTATGTTTTATACTATGATAATATTAGCTATATATGCATCATAATCAAAAGATTGTCTGTCTGGATTGATACTACACTCTTACTTATTTTTGCCACTAAGTAGCACTAATGGATTAGTATATTTACAGGCATTCTAGTCTTCAGAGGTGCCAACGCTTTGGCAACCCTCTTCGTCTGATATTGGTTGTAGATGTTCACTAACCATCAGGAGCGGTGCCACTTCAAGCCATTATTAGCACTATCAGCACGAAAATTTGAAAGTGGATTTGTATTTATTTATAGCTTAACCTTGGGAATGAAAGAATTGATCATAGGCTGTAACTACACTGACTCTTACCCTTCAAAACAGCAGTGGGTGTGCTAAAACCATTAGGTCTTAAGAATTGCCATTTTCTAATACTGGCTAGTTTGAAGTTTGATTAAAGCATTCCAAAGTTTAAATTCCAAGATTTGCTGCGTATTAAAAACTTGATAAAGAGTTTTAGCAAGGACAGCAATTGATTTTTATATATAGATATAATACTCACAATAAAACTCTGCAGCTGCAGTACCGAAACTCTCCCAACATCATCACCGCTAAAAAGCATGTTCCTACTCCAAACCATTGACGTTATTTCATTCCCATGGTGCTCTTTTGAAACAGCTGATGAGTATCCTCCACTTAGCGATTGGTCACAGCCAGTAACCGTAACAGTACCTTTGCCATTAGAAAAACCGATATGTTTTTCATCTGTAGAAATAGCGAGGCGTGTTATGGGACCATCCTGAAAATTAAGGAAACACACTGTTTATTGGTGTTAACCCACCTGTGTGCCCGGTGTGATAGGCAAATCTTTTATGATATGCAAGCCAATGAATGATTTATAAGTATTTCTTTGCCATGTAGTAGCAGTGTCAGAATATCATCCCATGGATGTAGTAAGAAGCGACAGAGAAACACAAATAAGAAATAAGGAGATGAACAGGAGTGTCTTTCTAATGATGACTAATAATTAAAAACTGCGGTTGCCAACCCGTTTACCAGGTGTGGCACCTATGGCAAATATTCCCCCCTATGAGGCAATCTATGGGCGAGGCCTATTTTCAGCAGTGAACTTTAATAGGCTGTAACAGTAAGTATTTCTTAATATTACATCGATTTTAATGAGTAAGGCTGTAAATATCTATATTAAAGTATGATTTCAGGTTGGTTTGCTAAGTGATTTAGTGAAAATATTGGATATGATGATACAATGTTCAAGATTTGAGTAAAATTTAGTTAAATATCTGTATTTTTTACTCTTCCTGTTATCCCAATTTTTTTTTACTTGCAATATGAAAACAAAACTAATTGTCCTCACTTATCACAACACTGTTGCAATTGTAAAAGTCATTTATAAGGCTTTCAAACCATACTGCCTCACAACAACATACAATTAAAACTATTTATTCTGTATTCTTAACAATAGAAAGTGACACTGTTTCTGCTTTTGAGTGCACTAAAATACTATATTGCCATGTCATAATAAACAAAAACTTGTAATAGACTTTCTTACATCTTTATTACCTTATCAACCACCAATACCCTAATATTACATGTTCGCAGTATTTATACTAGACATAATTCCATGTTGGTAATCTAAAACTGTATAGTAGCAGTATAAGACTATCCACTACCCCATATCATCCTGTGGGTGTGGTAAGAGGCAACAGAGGAAAACTGAACCACGAGATGGGCACAAGCATCTCCCTGATAACAGTTGAATAAAAATAACAAGCTGCGGTTGCCAACTACTTTCTGAGCGAGGCAACTATGGCAAATATATCTTCTCTGAGGCAATCTATGGAGGGGACCCATATTCAGCAGTAGACTTTTGGTAGACTGTAATGGCGATACTAGGCAACATGCAGTAACTTTTAAGTATGTTTTTTTTTATAGAATATCAGTGACAAACAAGCGCACAGATCAACAGATATATTGACAAGCATCAGAGACATTGTCACCCTTGAGGACTAAGATGGAATGCCTCAATTTCAGTAAAGAGTCTCCGGTTCTCTGCACTCACCATATGAAACACAGCAGCATTAAGATGTTATTATGTTGGTATTCTGTGAGAGTGTGATCCTACCTTGAGCTACAAATATATAGCTGCAGTGTGGCTCTACCACGTAAAAAGTCAAGTATTAGCACACTCTTTAAGTAGTATAAGGTTTTGTAAGTATTATTATATTATTTGAAGTACTGTTCTGGAATTTACTAAAAAAGACTAAAGGATAGATTTGCCCTACTATAAACTACTTTTTAGATATCAAACAACCTATTATTTTACCTGTCTACCAAGTGAGCCGTGGTAGCTCAGATGGTTAGCGCTCGCTGTAAGCTTCACAGTACTCAAGCAACCCGGGTTCGATCCCCGCCGGCACTAATGAAATTGTTAATTGCAATTTTAAGTGCTGATTTACCACGTTGGGGGTGAAGGAAAATATTGTGAGGAAACCGGCATGTCTGAGAAATAAGAAAAAAAATATTTCGAAGACACTTGATGTTCGTCAACACGCATTGGGGCAGCGCGGCAGACATTTCCTTGCTCTATTACTTTGTTACTTTACTACCAAGTGTGGCAACTAGGGCAAATATCACCCTTATAAGGTGATTTATTAGGCAGCCTATGTTCAACAGTGGACTCTGAAGTCTGTATTGATGGATGATTGGATGGATGTAATGGATAGCTGAGTGCAGGTATACATGTCAGGTTTCTCCTGCTCAAGATTTAAAAACTTTATTAAACTAAGTTTTTTGACCTGCTCAAGGTGCATAAACTTTATTAAACTGAGTTTGTATAAAAAGGGTTAATATAATATTAAGGATTTTATGGATCTGCAAGATGACGTTGTGACAAGGATTAAGAAAGGAATGCTTCGGTGGTTTGGTCATGTAGAAAGAATGAATGAGGAAAGAGTGACAAAGCAAATTTATATTGCAGAAGTGAAAGGCAGGGTCGGGAAGGGATACCCTAGATGAAGGTTTATCGACCAAATCGGCAATACATTAAAAATGGGCCAGATTAGGAGTACCCTTAACCGATGAGCTTGTATGCGTAGATATATGGATGTAAAGGAGGCGAGAGAGGTGTGTCAGGATCGCACCAAATGGAAGTCCGTAGTCTCTGCCTACCCCTCTGGGTGACAGGTGTGAGTGTTTGTGTTGTATTGTGATTTTATGGATGATCACAATTTCTACTTTGTTGTATTGTAAAGTTATTAAGTCAATGTGATATTCATTTAAAAGTATATATGTGTGCATATATTTAAAAAAATGCATACCTTGTTGGGTATCAGCTGCACAAACTCACAGGGATTTCTGTTGTAAACATAGATACCACCACTTGTGGCACCAAATGCTATTAAGGATTTTGATACATCAAAGCATGTAAACTGAAAAAAGAAAAGTTCTTATACAATAATTTACATACTTTCACCAATACACAGGAAGAATTATAACATAAAACAACATTTTAAACAATGAAAAAATTATATACCCAAAAATTAACCATTTGTGTTATACACTCTTTCTTATGTTCTTACATTGTTTATGTGGTAAAGCCATGCTACAGCTATATTAGTAGTATAGTATTTCATATGGTGAGTGTAAAAGAACCGGAGAACCTCTTTCCTAGAAACGAGACATTCCATCCTAGTCCTCACGGGTGAGTGCAACAGCACAGTAACATGTGCCTGTGCTATTGCGCTAAATCAAGAATATTTGCTGAATAGCTAGGCCTACACCAATCTCCTTGCCCGGCATAAATATCCTTCATAAAATGTAAGCTATTTGGTGCTTTCTTAGAAACGCCCTTACTAAGCAATTAACTATAACAGACTTAAATGATGTATATAGTAAAACAAAATTACAAAATTTTTCCCAGTGTAGGCTGCACAGCACAAATTATATGAAATTAAATTTTATTTGTTTGTGTCGCACCTTTCATTGTTAAACATTTTTTAAATTGTGGCTTATGATATTACGATCACATTATTTCTGCCAATGTCTGGTCTTGTAACAGTACATTCCTAATAAAATTATTTTGATATCATGCCAAAACTACCTACCTTTATACGGTGGACATTTTTTATCGGATAATTTATAACTTCTGTTATATCAGGAAGTTCTTGAAGTATATACGGGAGCAATTTACAAGTCATATTTTACATACATTTTCCTATTTATGTACACATTAATAATTTTTTTTAAAAAGAAATGTAAACATGAACCACTTAGTCACTATATTAACCTTGTAATACTTTATAATTTGTGCTTGTAATTAAAAATAGGGATGTCGATCTGAGATCGATTAATCAAAGAATCGATTTTGCAGGACCAAAATATCGATTTTTTAAATCGATATGCAGTACTGTATCGATCCATTGAATCGATTTTTTCACAGCTCTAAGGGACAGTAGACTTGAGTATTTGAATATGAATTTCTGCTTTATACCTCCACGCGTTCCTGAGAAAAAGGGTCTTGACAGACAGACAGACAGACAGACATACGAACAACAAAGTGATCCTATAAGGGTTCCGTTTTTTCCTTTTGAGGTACGGAACTATAAAAAAGTAACGTTTGTAGTCTATGACTGTTTATATTTGTTGATTGATATTGCGTCATTCATTTGTTTATATAAGCAAACTGTGTCGTAATATTATACTGTGATTAGCGAAATAAATACTTATTATTGTGTATATATATTTTGTGTATATAGCACAGTAATGCACTTGCACTGAAAAGTTAGGCTTAAACGAAGAATTTAAGCACTAATTATCGCAGGCAGTTGTGCACATGAAACATGATCCTATACTGTACTGGCAGGAACAAACAAACTCTATTCATCACGACCTTCACTCAATAGCCATGATGTATATGAGTATCGTGGGATCATTTATTCCTTGTGAGCGCCTTTTTTCAATTCCCGGCAACATCGCAAGTGATGAGCAGAACCGCTTGAATTCCAGTAGACTTGACAGACTATTGTTTTTAAAAGGTTTATATATAAAGCATTGGGAACTTTATTTCATGTAACAAATACATTTTTAAAATAAATGTCTTCTTTCATACCTGATCTAACTTTGATATGGTAATAAAAATAATTGTTATTATCGAATTTCCTGAACTAAAAAAAACTGTCTTTACTGATAAGTGATCATTTATTATGGTATTTTTCTTGTTTTTCATAAAATGGATTTATATTATAAATACAAATATAAATAAACGATTTTTTAGGAATCGATCTTTTAGACCTCGATTTTTTGTGAATCGATACATTAGCTTACGATTGGAATCGATTTAAAAATCGATCTTTTTCGGAAAGAATCAACATTCCTAGTAAAAAATTAGTGTTGACAGATGGTCGTCTCGCGTTCTCCATATCAATGCGTTCTCCCCAAGCATTCCCCAAAATCCCCCCAAAATTCAGGTTAATGGAGAAAAAAAAAAAAACTCCCACAAAATGCAGAATATTTATTAATTTTTAAAAAATTATGCGTGGTAGAACCATGCTACAGCTATAGTAATATAGTTGTAGCACGGATGGGTCGGCTCGACCGGGGAAGGACCATGCTCTCACCGAATACCAGCGTTAAATAGTAGCTTAACACTGCTGTGTTTCGTATGGTGAGTGTTCAGAACCGGAGACCCTTTTTACTGGAAAAGAGGCATTCCATCTTAATCCTCGCGGGTGACAACACATCTGTATTTTGATTCCCAAACGAGGATAGATGTAGATGTTTATGGGCCACAGCAACCACTTACCATCAGGTGGACTGTGTGTTCGTTTGTCACCCTATCCTATAAAAAAATATTGAAATACAATTTTACACCATTTCAGCAATAGCTTCCTTTACTGGATCAGCATATTTATACGCGTCGTCTGTAGTTCCGTACATTTTTTCTGAGTTAAATCTGTTTAGCATCTTTGAACTTGGTTTAAAGTGAACACATTCTTCTAGCAATATATATGGTTCTTAAGATGGATTCGGCAGTGTGGATGGCCAATCTGTTTAGAAGTTTGTCTTTAATAACAGTTACTTGGGAAAAGGCTCTTTCCCTTAGACTAAGCTCTTTCCACAACTGCGTTAGAAAATAGCAAAATTGCTAATGCCAATTTGCTAACATGGCCAATTTGCTAACAAATTCTATCACCGACTACATTCTTGAACTTCAACCCAGAACTCCTCAGTGGGTTGCGTGTGCGAAATAATTATAAGTATTTATTAACTTAAACCAACTTCGGAGTGTGTTGTGCTTTCGCAGATATTTTTAATCATCATGACTTTTTTTAGATTACAGTTTTGATAATACAAATCTCCCAATTCCCTCCAAACTCAATAATATGACCTTCCCTAAATGTCCCCCCAAATATAAAAAAAAACAATTTTGGGGGATTCCCCTCAGCTAGCCTCAGTATAAAAAATAAAAATTGTTATTGTTACGACTGCTAACAATTTTTAAAACCTATGTTTTGGATCATACAGCCTTGTCAATTATTAATGTATTTATGGTGGGTGCTACCTGGGAAGAAGCTTACCGAATATGCGAGCTGTGTATGGTCTCCATAGTAAGCAAGGCATATTCATGCCATTGAATCCATCCAGAAAAAAAAATTAATTACCTAAATTTCAAAATACATTGATGCATGTTGTCTACGAAGATAGCTGTCGTTTTTACGGATTTCTACCATTAAGAGATCGGTGCGAGTTGCTCGATATGTTGTTTTTGCATAGATTGCTCACAGGTGAAATAAATTCACCGGAGCAGCTGCTATCGATGATATCACTTAACAACAAAGCGCGCTCGTCATACAAATATTCCATGTACCTTTATCGCTTACCAGCTATTCATCAAACTCAATTTTGTCTAGGATACTACACAATTACTGTTACGGCCTACGGCTGCTCCCTTAAAGGATCCAATCCTCAGGGGCCCATGAGCTGAAGACTTCCCGAACAGACGTAGGTCGGGCCTCAATGTGGCCACGTGGAATCTCTCTAATTACACTAAAATATATGGGGGAGCGTTATACTACGGCCAGTCGACCGGAAGGAATTTGGACGAAGCTTACTTACCTATATCCAAGGCGACTGGTCCCTCCGGAGTCGGTCAGGTCGCATGTGGTTGTGTAGTGCAAGGGAAAGAAGGGTGATGTGGTGTGTATCTGGGTGTGACTGATGGTGATTGAACCTAGACCTTGGCCGTCGGCAGCAGCCCGAGCGTCGACACCGCTCCAACTTGAGGGGGCCCTCCGAGGCGTCCGTCCACAGTCACTTTCTTCTTTCTTCACGATGACAGTCAATTAACTCTATCGTACGATTTACTAACTTACAGAAGCCACTAACTATCGCTGGGTATAATGGTTACCGCACAAACGCACAGGGAGTTTAAAGGGTCAAAGGTCACTACCGTTTCGCGTAGCAACAGTTAATTCTAGAATATCAGAGGCCGCACTATCTAATATTGCCGAATGCACTATACAGTTCTGAGTCGGACCCAATAAGTCCCGGGAAGCTCTCCAGCAGGAATGCGCGTCACAAAATCCTAGACCGTATATTTACGGGCCGCACCTAATTATTCCGAGTTTCCTAAAAGAATACAGCGTGCCAATCGTTAGCACCGCTTATGGACGACTGACTTTTCGCTCGCGACTCGCGCGCTCGTGCCACGCTCAGCCGAACTTCAAACCGGAATCGCGCCGAGCCGAGTGACATCTGGTGTCGACTCCGACAACAGCGTTTTGCGCGAACAAACCCCCGTCCCGGATATAAGGATTTAGGTTCGCGAGCAAACCGGGCAGCGAGACAAGGTCGCGACGGCAAGTTGCAAGACCGAATCTACAACCAAACTAGGCCACCTTAGGCAACCCATCAGATCCTGCAACCCTAATCAACGCCTCAAAAGATAGCCGGAAAAGATGGCAAGCCGGAGGGTCAGCCTCCACTGGATGCCCCTCCTGGGCATTGCAGCACTTTAATAAGTCCTGTACTGGACAGAAGTCCGACGACCTCTTTCAAACACCTATCTGTGCCCCTATGATTAGTTCCGCAATCCGACCGGATCAGCTCTGCAAACAGCGACGCTACACGAAGCTGCCCAGACAAATTTTGTGCCAGCAGTTGCTTCAGTGCAGAACGCACCCACAAATTCCACATGAACGTCGTCTGTGGAGAGCCAAACGAAACGCACAGATAGTCCCTAGTATGAATTTTCAACAAGTAGGCCTAGCCAGGCCACCCACCATATTATCATTTACTAAAATAGTGCGGCAGCTGATTTCAATCTGATAATCTCCAAAACTAGCTAGCCAGTTAGGCAAGTAGTCCTATGCTCATATTTCAACTAATTTTTCAAAAGCATCAATGTTCAACTACAGAATTAATTCAACCAAATTAATCACCGATGCGCATAGGTCAACTTGCAAATTAAACAAAACAATAACGTAAGGGACAGCCCTACTTCTTCGCAAAGCAAAATGATTAAACACTATCATAAACATAAACATAATTTTTCAAATAGTGCGCCATTCAATTTCAGATGAATTCAAATTTTCCTTTCAGCAAACAGACGCAACAATCAAATACAGTGATTAAATATATGTACAAAACACATGCAGTAGCATTTAAAGGAGTAGATTAAATTCCATTCTTTTAATTTAAACCGCTACAAATAGGAAAATTTCGCGGAAAGCCCAAACCATTTTTTAATTTTAATTCAAGTATTTTTTGACTAAGTGCTCGACCAAACCAAATCTAATACCCCTTGACAGCGTGATTCAACGCTCCAGAGGGGCCCTAATCTTCCCACCACCAAGGGGAGGCCACATGGCGTGAACCCGAGATCGCTAACAGTCGCCACTCGGGTTGTACGCCTTCACTGAGGCCGTCGGCAACAGAACATTTTGACAAGTGGACTGTTGACGGCTTAAGGCTCAGTGGAGGTGGCCGTGGTGGGAGCTAAGGCGGCAGCTAGCCAGGGCCGCCTCCATCAAATGGGGAACAGTGGTACACCAGTCGCGGCCACTCAGCTAACGGGAGTGAGAAGGGTCCAGCGGACCGATGAGTGGCCGTGAAGTTCCTCTCCACACGCTTAGGGGGGGTGATGACACCCCCGCCCCTGGGGGAATTACCCCCCGACTGGTCGGGGGAGGGACCCCTT